GGAAATAAAGCTTTAAAGTGAACCTGTATTTTTGGCTTGGCAGCAGGCATCATAATACTTCCTTACCGCTGCTGGTTACCACTCATCCTCAGGGGTGAATGATGCCCAGCATCCCCCTTATATGTGTTTTATATAGGGATGCACCTATACCGTTTTTTCAGTATCGAGTACCGCTATATTTTTTTTGTACTCGCCGATACCGAATACCGATACCGGAAGTCCCATTAAGGAAGCCAGGTGACATGCAATGACTCGCCACCTGGCTTCCTGATTAGCCGGGAAGCAGTCTCCATGCTCCCTCATCACTAGGTGACGAGGAAGCATGGGGCTGCTTTTCTGGCCAATCAGGAAACTGGGCAACGCATCATTACACAGCGCCTGGCTTCCTGATTGGTTGGGAAGCTGGCTCCATGCTACCTTGTCATCAGGTGACAAGGGAGCATTAAGCTGGCTTTCTGGCCAATCGGAAAGCCAGGGGGGCATGTAATGACACGCTGCCCGGCTTCCTGATGTGATGAGGGAGCATGGAGTCGGCTTCCCGGCCAATCAGGAAGCCAGGCAACGTGTATTGACTTGCTGCCCGGCTTCCTGATACTGGAATCTCAAGCATCGGTCTAGTACTCACCCAAATACTCTGCATCAGCACCGATACCGATACTAGTATTGCTATTAGTGTATCCCTAGTTTTATACATACGAGGGAGTTGTTTTACATGCCAAATTATTGGTATTTCTGTCCATCTAGTTTTGACACTTATTTACACACGTTTGCCACACTACACAGCGCTGTCTGCCAGACTGTTTTCAAAGTCAGCTGCTTGCAGTTATATGAAAACACATTTGATGATGTAATAATAAATACAGAGCTGCATTATTTGTGTTTTTTTTTATCTGCCTTAAGGCATGCTGGATTTAGTTTTAGTGGAGGTAGGGAAAGGGGGGAAGCATAGCTCCCATCTATCCCTCATTCGGAACCAAATTCCTCTCTCTCCCTCTTTATTTGTCCCTCTTTATGGACTGATGTATTAACTTATATCTGGAAATGTACTACTTAACTACCAGAAGTATAAAACTACTCTAACCTTTCTCCAACCTCTAAATTAATGCAGTTGGTATTTCAAAACCTGAATATAAAGGAAAGGTAGGTTATATAAAAAGCACTAGTGGGTTTAACCATTATTCTTTTGTGTATTAATTAACATGGGGTGTGTTCTCTGTATGCAAACTTTGTACTAAAACGTCCGTCCCTCCCCTTTATTATCTCAGAAAGTTGGGAGGTATGGGGAGTATCAAGTGTATGCATTGCACATCAACCACCTATAACATCAAGTGTGTTGTGCTAAAAGGTATTAACCCTTAGAATGTGTATCAGGTGTATGCAGTGTGCACCAACCACCTATAACATAAAGTGCATAAACAGATGTACTCAGATGGTCATTAAAAGTTTCCATTTCACCTGGATCACATTCCCCTTATATGTGCACCACAGTCCATTCTGATTGGTCAGTGCTACTACATCTAGCCTCCATGCTCAGTAACTTTCCATCAGCAGCAGGGTGTCCTACAAGGTGAGCAGCATCTGGATCACATGGAAATTGTCACAGGGATGACAGAAGTGTAAAATTGTTTTTGAGCAACCTTTTTCAGCATTTTTATCATGGAGTAACCCTTCTAAATATTATAGCGTTCTCAGGGAATCACTGGTAAAATGATTATGTCCACAGCTCATGACACGTTAGCCACACCACACAGTGGTGGTCTGGCGGTCAGTGGGAGGAATGCTTCTTGCACTGGTGGTCAGTTGGAGGAATGCTTCTTGCACTGCTGGCTAGTGGGAGGAATGCTTCTTGCACTGGTGGCTAGTGGGAGGAATGCTTCTTGCACTGGTGGTCAGTGGGAGGAATGCTTCTTGCACTGGTGGTTAGTGGGAGGAATGCTTCTTGCACTGGTGGTCAGTGGGAGGAATGCTTCTTACATTGGTGGTTGGTGGGAAGAATATTCCCCTTAGAGACAGTGAACATGATCTCTGGTGTCTGTGGTTATTTACCTGGAAAATAAGAAGAGAAGGTCCACTGGTCCCATTCCAGTGGTTCTGCTGAGCATTGTTGGCACAAGAACTATGTGGGCACTACCAGGGAGGATATCAACCTATCACTGCTCAAGGAACCCCTAGCAACCTCTGAAGGAATTCTAGGCTTCCACAAAACTCTGAAAAAGCCTGTTCTAGAGGCATCTGTGTAGAATTCCTGGTATTACAGGAGTCAGTCGGCTTCCATCTGGCATCTTTTACGATGAAGTTTAGAGAACAAAAGTAAATGTTTGGAATCTGTGTTCCAAGCCATCTCCTCTCCGCCATTACCTGTAGGGATTGAGAACACAAATACAAGCTAGCGTCAAAGAGAGATCCTTATGCTATTCCTGGCATCCAATGAGATGCTTGCTCCATTCTTTAGTCTGTGCTAGAAAATTGGAAAAAAGGAAACATTTTATTTAGTGTAGAACATAATAAACCAACAACCCGTACTTATAGAGAAGTATTTTCACACTCACTGTGATTGCAGACTGTTGGGGATTTTCCATCAGGCTGGAATGTATTTGAATATTCAGGAAGAGGCACAGAGCTCCCTTTCATAGATCATTCAACCACAAGTCACCAGACTTTACTGCATATGAATTCCGATATTTATGACTTTTGCTGCAGACCTAGGCTTTGCTGCTGATTTGAATTTACAGGCAATAAAGAGCCCAAAGACTCAGAGCAGTTTACTAATTAAGTAAGGTTTATCTGTAAAGATGTCCGAGTCCTGATCACATTGACAGTATACAGAGCTCCCTTGTCCAGGTAGCAAAGGAGAAAGTAAGCTGACATTTTTTAAACTGTTTTAAAGGTGTTGGGTAAATCCTGGGATATACCACAGTATGGTAAATACCCTCAAAGGAGGAATCTGTGGGGGCTTCAGTTGCAGTATGTGTGTTTATCAATGGGGAAGACCTAACATACACTTTAATTGCCAAAAAAAGCAGCGTGTGTGGATGAGTATGTAGTACCTGTTGGAGGTCAGAGTTTTCTGGCTAGAAGTGTCTGGAGTTTGGATCTCCTTGCAGCCTGTAATTTCTAAATAGTGGCAGCCTGTGTGTCTGTTTTTCTAAATCTAGATCGGAGTGTTCAAGTTCTTGAATTAATAGCCACCATGCTGGTGTGATTTAAAATGGTAATAAACTCTTAAACATTTTTTTCCAGTAACGAATCCATGTCAATCAAATATATATTGCCCTGCAAAGTATTTCCGTACATTTTTGCCAAACTTTCCATCATGTTTCCAAACAGCTCCAACCAGGGCCATCTTTAACGCAAGGCAAAAGGGGCAGCTGCCCAGGGCCCAGGCATTGTTGTGGGGCCCAAAGCAGCCGCCCCTTGAGCAGGTCATGCGCTGCAAAACTCCTACCACTAGCCCTGCATCTCAGCACTGACAGCAGAGCAATGGATGATTGCAGAGCAGATGACACGGAGAGAAGAGCTGGGTGGATTCCCTCCCCCTCCATGCTGTGTATATGTGTGTGTTGGAGGAGGCGACTCTGCTATGACCTGGACACCAATGTTCACTGGCCTTTGCACCTGGATGAGAGAGAGGGAGTCTGCCGGGTGAGGGGACTACAGCCTGAATCAGGGCAGTATGAACAGTGGGTGTCTGATTGGGAGTTCCTGCTTGTCTGTACTGGCTGCTGCATGCTGCGTGTATTAGGGAGCACTGAATGCCCAGAGAGAGGGGTCACGACATGCTGCTTGTCTGTATGTGATAGGGGTCACTACATTCTGCCTGTCTGTATGTGATGGGGGTCGCTATATGCTTTCCATCTACATATAATGGAGGACAGTCGTCTGAGGGCGCCAGGGGGGAAGAGGGGGTAAAAAATGCACCTTCACCTGTGTACACAATAATCCTTGTACCGGCCCTGCCCTTGAGCCCACAAAAGATACACCCGCGCCACTCTTCTGTTTATTGTGTGATCGGTATTGCATAGTGTTGCTCCGTCCCTGTCGTATAGACGCATGCATGGGCGAAATTGCATGGCAGGGGTGGGTAGGGGGTGTTTTGGGGGGTGAGGGGAGTTAGTAAAGGGGTCGGGGTGGGTAGGAGTGGGGGGCCCAAGAAAATGTTTGCCCAGCAGCTGTCCATCCACTAGCTTGGAAAAGGGAGGATGGAGGAGTGGGGAGCATGAAGTAGGGCAGTGGATTGCCTTGCTGTACCTGTGTGTTCATGGAGAATAGCACACACAAAGGTGGCTCCACAGGACCCTCCAAGGGAAAGGAGCCATCCTAAAACAAAATATCGGGGCCAGTGCTCAGGGGACCAACTGATTCTGCAGGAAACTAGAATCTTTACGGCTTTCTCACACCATCCAATGCGTTCAGTGCCGTGAATGCACTGGATCGATAAACTAAGGCTCCCCACATTCTGGGGCGGGAGGGGGAGTGGTGGTGAAATTCAGGTGACGTACGCACTATTTTTTCTAATCACACCGCACTGGAACACATTGCATTGCAGTACCACGCGTTCTGGGGTGGGCGATCACACTCCGGGTGGGAGGCATGTCTACGGTGCCATTGACACGTATACAACAACAAAAACATAGGATACTACTGGGTCCTCTTCCTCTTTGGAACGATGCCCAAAATCATAAGATTGGTGCCACTCTCACATCATTACAGTATGAGGGCAGAGCCATGGTGGCACTTCCTCGGGGGACAGGTCCATGATTCCCACCACTCACAGGATGTCCTCATCTCATTATTCAGGGTTGAGCAATGCTGAGTGGTGGGGGACAGAGCCAGAGAGGAGTTAAACATTGCAGCCAGAACTTTTTTTTTATTTTTTTTCACTTTTTTAACACCTGCTGGGGGCAAACAAACAAATTCTGAGGTTGCACTTAAAGAATTAATACTTAAAAATCAGACTTTATTGAATAATACATTTAAGATCTGTTTCATGTCCTTTACAGGTGATTGCTGGCTGTTGGCTGCCATTGCCTCTCTCACCCTCAATGAACAGGTCCTCTCCCGGGTGGTCCCAAAAGATCAAAGTTTCCAGGAGAATTATTCAGGGATCTTCCACTTCCAGGTAATCCACGGGAAAACAGCTGGCAATATTAGGCCGGCCATTGACTGTGCTGGATGACCCTTTAGGGGCTAATGCATGAAAAGTATGCTAACATAAAAATGTCTGATTGCCCATAGTGACCAATTGGCTTCCAACTATCATTTCGCAATGTGAAGCCAAAATTAAAGAAAGCATTCTGATTTGTTGTTATGGGAAGCAATAAATAATGCTGCAGTGTATGGTCAGCTTTAAGGTGCCCATACACTGTGCGATTATTGCACAATAATCGCGGGAAATCCCACGATTGTACGATAATCGCAAAGTGTATGACAGGCGTGCAACCGTTTTTACTGTATGGTCGCACATCTTTTGTCTAAGGAGCATGTTCGAAAACCAGCCGAAAATTTTACGATTTTCGGCTGGTTTGTGGCATGCTCGGAAGACAAATGCCGAACAGGCCGCTGTGCGCACGCGCATACTGCCCGTTCAGCATTGCGGTCATCGGAAGCCAGCCCCTCAGGGGGGCGGGCTTGCGATGATCGCAAGTACGATCTGCCTGTCCAAGATGGGCAGATTGTACCTTTTTTTTAAATTACTTTACAACCATCGCAAGACTAAGGTCTTGCGATGGTTGTAAAGTGTATGGCCACCTTAACATAGACAAAGGGCATCATATGCTGCTAACTATTCCATAGTCCTTAATTAGGATCACAATGTGATTTAAAAAGCCCAAACAGATTAAAAATTGCACATTTGCTTCAATAAAATGTTAAAAATATGCAACTGTGCCAAATATTTACTTTGCAAAATAGCGAAAAATATATATAGTTGTGCATTATACGCGATACTAAAGATAATTAAAGGAGAACTATGGGGTTAAGGCTTTTCCCCATAGTTCCCCCTTAGGGTAACGGGAGGACACAAACTAGTGTCCTCCCGTTACCATAAGCTCAGTATACCGCGAGCTACAGCTACGCCGGTATGTGTTCGTTCACCTCCCGATCTACTGAGCCGACCTGTGACAGTCTCATTGTCACAGGTCGGCTAGAACTATGAGGTGAGTGAAAAGCACTCACCTCATAGTTCTCCTTTAAATAAAGGAGCCTTGCAAAGACAAAAGTGCATATTACAAAACTGGTTTATAAATGAATACTAAAAGAAGACCCGTCTCTTTTCACCGCAACAAACAGCTTTTCCTCATCCTTTTCCTGTCTGCAGTACCTGCACGAGAATCACTATGTAAAGCCAAACACTTAGAGGTTATTTTTAAACAGTTCGCAGAGCCATTTGCTTTGCAAAAATCTGTGAAGTTTCTTCTGTGCGAATAGAGGCTCAGTAGGAACATGCACATCAGAAGGAAAATGTGTCCAGGTTTTAGCTGGCCTGAAATACGGACACAGGATATACAGGACTCAAAACCTGGACTGTCTGTGTGAATCCTGGACAGTTGGCAACCCTAGGGGGAGGCCACAGACCCCCTTCTAGCTGCACGCCCTCGGGCAGTGCCTGAATAGTCAGTCCGCCCCTGGAAATAATCTCCCCACCGGCCGTGCCTTCATCCTGCTGCTCCAGGGCTCAAGGGACAGCTGCTGTGGGCCTCTGTAAATTTGGGGCCCGGGGCAGTTGCCCCTTTTGCAGTGTAAAGACGGCTCTGATCGGTGGCACTGCCTGCATGCCAAAATTAACCAGTCCATGGGCTGCAAATGGCCCGTTGGCTGGTACTTTGAGACCCCCGTTGTAAAGCAAAATATAGGCGATATATAAATCCTGTATTATTATTATTATTATTATTATTATTATTATTATTATTATTATTATAATATAGCAGAGAGCAGAGAAGTCATGTGAGCCTCTCACAGCCTCTTCCCCTCTGTCCATTTCTTTGTCCATGCTTTCAAAACCTTTATTGAAGTCATGTACTATATAGAAAAGATTCCTGAAATTAACTCAACGGAAAATGGAGAGAAACCTATTGATTATTTCATTGTAATCAAAATGGTGTTTAAACAAAAATTCCATGCGCCTAGAATACCATTTTATATATTTTATAAAGTATCTCCCATGTTTTGTCTCTTCTAGTTCTGGCAGTTTGGAGAATGGGTCGATGTGGTCATTGATGACAGACTCCCAAGCAAGAATGGGGAACTCGTCTTTGTTCACTCAGCCGAAGGGACTGAATTTTGGAGTGCCCTTATGGAGAAAGCCTATGCAAAGTACGTGGTGGGCAGAAAGGTTTGCTAGGCATGTCAAACTCTAAGCCAGGGGTAGGCAACATTGGCAGCCCAGAGCTGTTGTGGAAGCGTCCCACAGGCATGGCTCCAGAGGCATGATGGGACTTTAAGTTTCCCCACAGCTGGGGTGCTGAAGTTGCCTACCCCTGCCCTAAGCATTGATTCATTTAAACACCACCTGCTAGATATAGACTTGGTTGACATCAACAAAGGGCCACAGATTATGTTCAGCATATGCAATGCAACAGAAGACTGTAGGGGATGTGCCTATCAAACAAGGGATGATAAGAGACTGCAGACTTATTGTTGATATATTCAGACACTGGGGACACACTACAAAAAGATCAAAGATTTCAGACCCATTCAGGAGTATTCCGAAACTAGGGACATACTGCACAAGTTGTTGAATACTGGCAACCTACTACAGGAGTCAATTAGAGACATACAGTACTGTTGTCACACTGTTTTCCCTGATGAAGGACCCTATACGGCCCCAGAACATCGCATTTATGTGATATCATGACTATGCGTCAATAAAAACATATTGGTTTAGGATTTTGGTGCGACGGTGACTCATCTTCTTTATGATTTATATGGCGCCATCTGTTTGTCACTGTAGTACCCGCCAGGACTCATCAAGGACTTTTTGGGCAGGTGTGCAGCGTGTTAAGGACAAGAATCAGAGACATGCCACATGTAATAAGAGACTGCTGGACAATCTCTTTAGAAATCCGTGCTTCCACATTTTTCTGCAGCCCCCTTACAATTACCACCCTTAACATGTGATATCACCTAAAATCTGATATCCCCTAAGGACAAGAATCCAGAGAAAATTAGTTACATAATCTAACAAGAGGGAATAAACAGCACAGAAAAAAAAGTGTAAAATAAATAAAGTTGGAAGTACAGATGTGTATGGAATGGTTCATAGCCAATTCTAACAGAAGATAGATGAGACAGATCAGATGGAAGACTTTGCTATAAAATCCAAATGAACTTTAGAACTTCTTGTCCTCAAACACAGGCTGAATGGGTCCTATGAAGCTCTATCCGGCGGAGCCACCACCGAGGGATTTGAAGATTTCACCGGGGGTCTTGCTGAGTGGTACGATCTGAACAAAGCTCCAAACAACCTGTTCAAGATCATACAGAAGGCCCTGAAGACAGGTTCTCTCCTGGGCTGCTCCATAGATGTAAGTGACGGTCTAACAATAATTAAATAACTGCAAATGAAAACTTCCTTAAAGGCCATGCAAACCCTAACCATGAACTTCTCTTACTTGCTGCCTTTTGATCTGTTAAATATACTTCCAAAGAAAGTGCACACCACAGCGCTCAGCTGACCCCAGTTCAGAAATTGTTTGACATCAGTGCACTAGAAGGATGGCTGCCGTCCTTCAGGCCATTGGGAAGTATCCTCACAAGATATGCAAAACAAGTAAAAGAGACGGCGCCTTCTCCTCGTGTAATATCGTTTTATTGAATCGAGTATTAAAATATATCATCAAATACTACTCGCATGTTAGCATACGGAATGGAAAATGAGATGCAAAGCGAGTCCCAGAAGAGACCAACTAGCTGACACCTCCCCAGAAACACATCATCTAGTTTGTCTCTTCTGGGACTAGCTTTGCATCTTATTTTTCATTCCGTATGCTAACAGGTGAGTAGTATTTGTATGTTATATTTTAATACTCGATTCAATAAAACGTTATTATACGAGGAGAAGGCGCCGTCTCTTTTACCTGTTAAATATACTATTAAAAGTGTTTTGTTATATCTGCTCAATAAGTGCAAACTGGTTGATCCCACCAGAATTCTAGTAAGCCGATAACTTTCTGTGTGGACTGTTATCAGTTGCATTGTTTCTATCTCTTTCTGTGGACTACAGAAAACATCCCTCCTTTACTTATATTATGGAGAAGAGGAGAAAGGGAGGAGTTCTGCAGTAACGTCCTAGGGTGACCACGTTGCTCCTCCATAGAGACAGTACAATGAGTGAGTGTTGTCATCCTAGGACAGGAAATGTGTTACTGGCAGGATCACCAGGTGAAAACAAGGGAAAGGTCCAAAAATACCAAATGCAGCCACCACATCTAAGGATTGGTAACCTCCGGTATAATTACATTTTTGTTCTTGGGTTTAAAAGAGGTTTTTCATGTCAGTGAATGGCCAAACCTCTGTCTTCATACTAGAATGTAATAATAAGGCTTGCAATAGGACTAGTGGTTCTATAAGCTGCTGGGTCAGAGGGTGAGGAGCTTACAAGTGAGCTGGAGCTCAGCATGGGTGTCACCAGTGCATTGATATTGGAAGAGTAGCAAGGGGGTGGGGCTGCGGCGCTGTCTTTCCAGAGTTCTTAGCATTGAAAAAAATCTCTTGATTATTCTTTGTAGCCATTGTCACCAGAACTGAAATCTGGTGGTAGAAAGTGGGCTGTTACCAGAAGGAGAATAGAGTGTAAATCTTCTAATGGGGACACTTGTTGGGTGACAACTGCAGAGAAAGAAGACTTGCTGTTTTTATCGATAAGTTCTCAAATTATGCATATTATATTGCTTATTGCAGAGCTATAGTCCTGACCCAGTAGGGGGTGTGTCAGACCTCTGCAGAGAGGCCACTGCTTCCACACAGGCTGTGGCTGCTTTCTAAAGAAAACCAACTGTAAGATTTCTCACGCTTTTTTTTTTAAGCACCTGGAATTTATTTAGCCGGATTGAAACTTAAAATTCAGTTGGGCTTTAAGATTTTCTGCATCCAGCCCTCAAAAAAATAAAGAATTGGAATTTTTGTTTGGAAAAAAAAAATAAAGAAAATGTCTACTGCCTTTCTTTGCAGCTTAGAGGATTTTTTGTCTATTTCTGAAAAGCTGAAAGGGACTTTGTTGAGTGTGGACTCTGTGACAATGAATAGGGATCGTATTGTTCTATTCTGATGTTTAATATTCCATGAGAGCTTTGTCTCTGTGCAGCCATGTGGAAGTCCTTTTGTTACCTTTCTTTTACAGATCACAAGTGCCGCTGAGACCGAGGCGATCACCTTCCAGAAACTGGTGAAGGGTCACGCATACTCCATCACCGCCGCAGATGAGGTGGGTTGTTAAATGTAAAGCCCCTTTTATCAATGTAAAGAACTTTCAGTCTCATAGATTAGTATGTCTGTGGGAATTGTCTGTATCCTCCCTAATAATATATTTTCTTCCTGTAACTCTTCTGCACTGGAGAAGGGGACATGGACAAGTAGATGAGGTTCGTTCAATGCCATATTATATCATGAAGTCAAAATTTCCAGTGCCAACTGGAAACCTGTTGGCCGCAATAAGGAAATACAAAAAATGTACAAACTTTACTCAGGTTTGCAATCTAGAGGTGTTTTGTTTTTTTTACAAAATTCTAATTTCCACAAAAGGCATTTAAGGACCCAAAATCGAAACTTCACAATTCTTCCAGTGCCTGGTCCATTGATCACATGGTCTCTGCCAAAGGCCCTGGAGAGAGTCACCCCTTTGATAGAGAACACATGACCAGACCAAACGATGAAGGGGAGCTGGATTTAGCATTTTTTTTTTTTAATCGGATACTTTTGAATTAAAAATATAAACAAACAGAAATTGGTTTTCTGTGTTGACACAGAGTATTCTGACTCCAATTGTTGTATTTAGGGTTGCACAGATACCAAGTACAGTACTCGGTACAAGTACGAGTACATGTACCGATACTTTTGAGCTCCTAGACTAGAGAAAAAATAAAAAATTAGGAGGCAGCTGTCATTTGTAAGGAGCACACGGAGCTCCTGGGATTTGTGCATCTCTGTTTTAATGTACGATTTTGTTTTTATAAACATATATAAATGGATGCACTGATACCAGTTTTGCGAGTACTGGTACTTGCCAAGTACTTACAAGTAGGAGTACTGATACATTTTTGTTTATTGTCATGTGACAGTTTTTCTAAAACAATATCGACTAATGATTTCAGGACAGTGGGGGAGCGCCAGAGCCAGGTCCCAGCTGCAACCGCTGCAACCCTGGTAGTTCTCATGCCTGGCCTGTATAAGCAGATTTAATCACTGCGAACAATCCTTACCAGATAGCTGAACTCACCAAATACCTTTTCCATCCACAAAGTACTTTATTCCGTGCAGCAGGTTACAGCAGACAACAAGATACAGCAGATGAATTAATTGGTGGTATTTAAGGTGGTCAAAGATGATAATGTTTCTGAGCCTGCAATGCAGATTAACATGTGGTCCTGTTACCTTCAGTCATGACACGCCACACTGAGCAAGAAGGGCAAAATACATAATAGGTGGGAGGGAACACAGAAAACATATGCAATAACCAAGTGCAATAACTAGAATGACCACAAGATGTCAGTATATGAACTTAGCCATACACTATCAATAAGTAAATGGCTTAAGGAAAATAAACTATATAAATTCTCACTTCACATTAATGTGAATATTAACCATGACTATGTATTGTCCTATTCTATGCAACCACTGTGGCAGCACAAAGAGATACATACAAAATACATATACACATGTAAACGTTACTTTCTACATATACATATATACAAAACAAAATCCCCCCCCCCAACCCAACCTTGCTCCAAACAGCAGTGCGCTGCCTTTACATGGTCACATATATAGATAGAAAAATTCACAGGAGTCATCTTATGGCAGCTAATACAGGAAAATATTTTCCAATTCGGTCCAGTCTTGGAGATACAGCCATCGTGCTCATAGGCTTGGTAAAGACCAGTACTAATATACAAGAATATTATATTCCATACTTTGCTTAGCATTAATGGTAGGTATTAGCTAAGCATAAACAACCTAATAGAACAGATCCAGGTGAATTAACACAATGCTTTCATATATGAATTTAGCATTTTACAGAAGAGGGGGACATTTCTAGTCTTTAATTTGCATGTAATTCATTACAGAATGCACATTTTGAGCTAGACTGGGCTTTTATTTATAACACCAGTTCACAATAACTAATCTACAATCTCTATATACACTGCCTGCCCAAAAAAGTCACCACCTGGATGTAGCACAGCAAATAGGTAAGAGCCTTTCATTGGATAATTACTGCAGTGATTAAAAAGTTTCATCTGACAACAAGATATTAAATCCTGACTGATGTAGTGAGTAGCTTCTCATTTCCATCAATGGATTTTGATCTTCCCTGATGGCACATTGGGCATATTCCAAGATGACAATGTCAGGATTCATCAGGCTCAAATTGTGAAAAAGTGGTTCAGGGAGCATGCGGCATCATATTCACACATGGATCGGCCACCACAGAGTCCAGACCTTAACCCCATTCAGAATCTTTGCGATGTACTGGAAAAGACTTTACACAGTGGTCCGACTCTCCCATCACCACTACAAGATCACGGTGAAAAATGACTGCAACTCTGCACAGAAATAAATGTTGAAGGGGATTTATTGTTAAAGGGAATAAATGTCCCTTTAAGACATTGCATAAGCTTATCAAAATGATACCACAATGAATGTGTGCCATTCATTGTGTCCAATGGAGGTCCAAAGAAATATTAGAGTGACTTTTTTTGGTCAGGCAGTGTATATTACATAACATTCTTCCTCTGTTTTAGGGTGGCCATACTTGGCCCAGTAATAACAAGCAATGCTCCAGGTTCAAGTATCACTTCCACACTACAGTATTTGCTTCCACTATAGGGGGGGGGGGGGGTAGATGAATTAATTGGTGGTATTTAAGGTGGTCAAAGATGATAATGTTTCTGAGCCTGCAATGCAGATTAACATGTGGTCCTGTTACCTTCAGTCATGACACGCCACACTGAGCAAGAAGGGCAAAATACATAATAGGTGGGAGGGAACACAGAAAACATATGCAATAACCAAGTGCAATAACTAGAATGACCACAAGATGTCAGTATATGAACTTAGCCATACACTATCAATAAGTAAATGGCTTAAGGAAAATAAACTATATAAATTCTCACTTCACATTAATGTGAATATTAACCATGACTATGTATTGTCCTATTCTATGCAACCACTGTGGCAGCACAAAGAGATACATACAAAATACATATACACATGTAAACGTTACTTTCTACATATACATATATACAAAACAAAATCCCCCCCCCCAACCCAACCTTGCTCCAAACAGCAGTGCGCTGCCTTTACATGGTCACATATATAGATAGAAAAATTCACAGGAGTCATCTTATGGCAGCTAATACAGGAAAATATTTTCCAATTCGGTCCAGTCTTGGAGATACAGCCATCGTGCTCATAGGCTTGGTAAAGACCAGTACTAATATACAAGAATATTATATTCCATACTTTGCTTAGCATTAATGGTAGGTATTAGCTAAGCATAAACAACCTAATAGAACAGATCCAGGTGAATTAACACAATGCTTTCATATATGAATTTAGCATTTTACAGAAGAGGGGGACATTTCTAGTCTTTAATTTGCATGTAATTCATTACAGAATGCACATTTTGAGCTAGACTGGGCTTTTATTTATAACACCAGTTCACAATAACTAATCTACAATCTCTATATACACTGCCTGCCCAAAAAAGTCACCACCTGGATGTAGCACAGCAAATAGGTAAGAGCCTTTCATTGGATAATTACTGCAGTGATTAAAAAGTTTCATCTGACAACAAGATATTAAATCCTGACTGATGTAGTGAGTAGCTTCTCATTTCCATCAATGGATTTTGATCTTCCCTGATGGCACATTGGGCATATTCCAAGATGACAATGTCAGGATTCATCAGGCTCAAATTGTGAAACAGGGGTTCAGGGAGCATGCGGCATCATATTCACACATGGATCGGCCACCACAGAGTCCAGACCTTAACCCCATTCAGAATCTTTGCGATGTACTGGAAAAGACTTTACACAGTGGTCCGACTCTCCCATCACCACTACAAGATCACGGTGAAAAATGACTGCAACTCTGCACAGAAATAAATGTTGAAGGGGATTTATTGTTAAAGGGAATAAATGTCCCTTTAAGACATTGCATAAGCTTATCAAAATGATACCACAATGAATGTGTGCCATTCATTGTGTCCAATGGAGGTCCAAAGAAATATTAGAGTGACTTTTTTTGGTCAGGCAGTGTATATTACATAACATTCTTCCTCTGTTTTAGGGTGGCCATACTTGGCCCAGTAATAACAAGCAATGCTCCAGGTTCAAGTATCACTTCCACACTACAGTATTTGCTTTC